TGTTGCATGAATTACTTTAATTTTGTGTAGATCGTAGGAATTTTAAGCGCTCTGACTTTAAACTGCCTATAAAAAAGCTTCTGTTGTTTGAAGACCGGTCTTAAATGTGGAACTGAGAAGTGTGTGGGAGGGACTCAACATATTGCTCCTCCACTAAGATTTTTGTCCTTCCTGGTAGATTTTCTGGTAGATGCAGATTTTATTTTTTTTTTTATTATTATTTTTTGTTTTCCTGAGCTCGCTCAGCGTCAGCATCTCGATCTGCAGAGCAGCTCTGGTCCCTTGCTAACCTTGTCACCGCCGCTCTAATCTGCCCACGCTGACCTTCCACCTGGCAGTGAAGGGGAGCTTAGGCAGGCGTAGGGCCGTAAGCCGATAGTGCCACCGGCTCCGGCGGCATGAGAGGGGAGGAAATTGTTCCATATGCATTTGCTGTGGATTAGCACATTGGCTTACTGGTCAAGAGAAAGCCTGTTAGGCTCCTTTGGCTCCTGCGTGTGCATGGGAAGCACCACTCTTTAACTTGCTCTTTGTATCGGAGGTAAGGCTATAGGAAAAACAGGAAAGAAACCCAGTCCGAGGAAATTTAAAACCGTTTCTAAAAATAGGCTGGGTTTGTTTGTCAACACTGGATATCAGATAAGGCTGTCTCCTAGCTTTTGTTTGAGGAAAAAAGTTTTAAAAGTACATTTAATCAACTGAAGTTGATTGAGTAGCAAAGTTTTGGGCTTCTGCTTTTTGTGGTAAATATGATCAAGCACTTTTGGGTCTTCTTAAGCAGTCACAAGTTGAACTGTTTTCAAAGAAGTAAAAAGCAGCAAAAAAAAATTTGCAGCATTTACACTTTATTGTATTGGCAATATGAATCATTCCATGTTCTGCATTATGGTAATGATTTAGGCCTAGCAAATAATATAAAAAGGCATTCATGTACAGAAAGGTAATAGGTATTAAACTTTAAATTTTGTTTTGCCCAGAAGATTAATTTTATCCTAGTGGCTAGTTAGAAAACTCAGACTGACTGCTTATTTGTTAACTTTTTTTTTTTTTTTTCTCAGAGCGGTAAAAGACTTGAGGAGCTTAAAGTTTAATGTATGCAAAGCAAATCAAGAGAGAATCAAAGATGAGAGTGAGTGAGGTCTAGCTTTTCTACCTCAGTAGCTTTGAATCAGAGCCAAATAATGGATTAAATGGCCAGGACATCGGCTTAGTGTTACGTAACGTATTGAGAGAATTGATCAGGTTGGCTGCAAGACTACCAGCTTAAAATAAATAAGGAAACACCAGCCTCTGGTTTAAAATGACTAATTTATATATATATATTTTTATTTCCAAGGCAATATTTTTAATATGTGTAATACACTTTTAAAAATCAGTTTAAATGAATCTCTACAAGATTTTTTTCTCCTCTTCTGTATTTAAAAGAACTCTGTGCTGTTCTGTTCAAAATTGTAAATATAGAAATACAGTAAATGAAGGTTAAAAAGTGGGAAAAAATGCATCTTTTGCTTTAGTACGAGACTAAGCATTATTTCTATGTTTTCTTGTCAAGGCTTTTCTATCAAGGCTTTTACTGCTTGGAATACTTCACATATGGTAGAAATTAATTTTGTGATTTATGATATTTTGTGAAATACTGAATGAGTACTGTGTTATGTGTTTTTATATATTGTATATAAGTGTCTTTAGTTTTGCTGTAGAACCAGTATTGCAAAGTTCAGGGAGCTAATATCAATGCATTACTAACACTGTGAAAATATTTTTCAAAACTTTCTTAAGTTATCATCTCTCCCTTTTATTCTGTACTATATAGCTTGGCTTTTGGTGCAAGAATTTTCATAAGGAAAGATGTATGTGTTTTCTAGTTATAAATAGTTTGTCAGAACCTTTCAGAATTAATATTGAAATGAAATAAGGGAAAATGCAGTGCGCGTGGGTTTTTTTTCAAGTATCTTGAGTAATACTTGCTCTAATCTATATTCTTAAAGTATAAGGTTAAAATTTTTGGATTTAAAGTAGCTGACATCTCTCATATATCAAGTAACACTTTAATAAAGGTCCATCCTATTTGCATAATGAGGGACATTATCACCTCTGCTGTCAAAACACAAGATTGTTTTTCCTTTCAGAAATGAATTAGCTGGCCTACTTAGCATACATAGGTACAGAAAGGTTCATTAACTCTCTGATTTAGGTAATTCTTCATATTAGAGCACTGAATGATACTTAAAACTAGAGACACCTAATATTGTTAAAGTTTTGGCAATGTGTATTTCAGTCCTTTTCTTCGTTTCTTGATGTATTGGCGGGTTTGTTCGTAAAAAGAAGCTTTTGAATGAAATTATTTCTCTATGCATTACTTATTTTATAGATTCAATAAATATTTATTATAATTTACTTATACACTAAATTCTAATTAGGATGCTTGGTCAGATCCATATAATAACTTTCATCTAGGTATCACTTTTGTAATAACATTTTATTTCCTTTCTGTGTTTAGCAGGAACGGATGCAGGGGACTGTGAACTGAGTAGTGCAAGTGCTGAAGAAGGAGGTTTGTTTTGAGGAAACGGGAAAGAGGAAGAAAAGAGAAGGGAAAAATACGTAATTTTAAGGAAGAAGGAGAGGAAAAAAAACGGGGACTATGGGGAGAAAAAAGATTCAGATTACAAGGATTATGGATGAACGTAACAGACAGGTGAGTGGCAAAAATACCATATTTGAACATTGTATTGTATTTCTAAGGTGAATTATTCTCATCAGTGATTGAAAAGTTGATAACTTTGTGTATATATACATATACCTATATATATATGTATATACACACAATGTATGGAAGAATATCAAAGAAAAAGTACTTTGGAAACAACCAGAAACCTCACACACAGTGTTTTCAAGTCTAGTAACATGCATAGTTAGGAATTTATTACTTGAGGCCTTGATTCTACAAAGACTGATGTCTATGCTCTACACTGGGCCCCCTCTGCACTCACTTTGACTTCAGTGTGTATTGTACATGGTTAAGCACATCTGCAAGTTGTTACAGGATACAGGCTTTTAGTATTTTTACGAGTTTATTTGCAGGAGGACTTGCATCTAAATTCATAGATCCAAATTATTTATGTTTCTACACACTTGCCGTGCTTTTATTTTTACCTCCTTCGTATAAAAATGACACTACTTCATAAAAAATCTCATCTTTTCCAGTCAGAATTTTAAATAGAGTTTGAGTAGCCTAATACATTCTAAAACCCACATATAATAATGTTGGCGTGTTGTAGTTATGAAACAAAGTCTCTGTTACTGATGCTATAGCTAAATAGGTCCAGCAGGACTGGTTAATTAATTATTACCACTGCTTTAGATAAAATGGCTGAGTAGCTGTCACATACTATCAACACTATCTCTGCAGTTAAAATATGATCATAAATTAGAGAAACTGCTTTCCTGTTTTCAGAAAAATAAAATTCAACAATTGGCATCTTAAAATAAAAGCAGTGAAAAGCTGCTGCTGTTTACATTTGATGTAAACGGGTGGATGTTTTGTTGAAACTGGAGATACACAAGTGTGAGAAAATCTCCATAAAATTATTTAACACTATGATTGGTGTTCTTCATACACGTGGCTGCAATTTTGGAGTAATCTTCGGTAGCTGTTATTTCAGAACTTGATACAGCACTACTATTAATATATTAGCTTATTTATTTGATCTGTTATTGTGTTGAAGAATATGTAAGAATTTATTATGTTGTTAGTCTTCAAGGACTTTAAAAAGCCATAAAGAACTCAAACTAGGCATAATAACAAATTAAAATCTTTAAATATACTTTCACGGAATCTTTAAATTCTGTAGTGTTAGTAGTCACTTGTGTTCTCCATGGCAGAAAATCATGTTTAAAAGCAAAATTATATTTAGGATGGATACATTTTGTGTTTTCCCTAAAGGTTGCTTATTGCTGTGGGCCAAGCCGAAAAGCAGTAATTCTACCCATATAAAACCACCACCATATTTATTTTAATTGCTCTATAGTTTGGGATTGAAATTTTATTTGAAATATTGAACTGAATTTATCATTAGACGTAAGACTGTAGTTGTTTGGAACTTTCCCACACTACCATGATGGTCTTTTTTGAAGTGAACATGAATTATTTTGTAAATGATACTACAAAATTTTGCCATTAGTAACATTAGTTTATACAAGACTTCAGTGTCAAGTTGCTTACTCAAATACAGGATTTACGGAGAACTTAATCCCCAATTTTGTCAGTGATATCTTTCAAGAGCCTGAATTTACTTTGAAAAATGAAGAAAGCTAGTCTTTCAATTCATTCACTGAAGAGTTTCAAGACCTCTAGCACCAGCTTTCAGAACTAATAATTACGAATAAAACTATAACACTGGAATGGTAACAACTATAGAGTTAGTGAAAAAAAAAGTGTTTATCTTTGGTTATCTTTGATAATATCCATCATGTTGATTTGTCTGAAGGTATAGAATTACATTACACTCCACGTAGTATAATTGGCTTGATTCTGCTTCTCATTTCTACTAATATATTGAAACATAATTTAGAAAGTGTTTCTACTGGTTTTATCCTCTTTGCGTTTACTGTCCTGATTTAAAGCTCAGTGAAGCCACTGAAAAGATTTCCATTGAGTCGCTTGGACTATGGGATCAAGCTTTTTAATTGAAGTGATATATATGTGATTAAACACTGATGATTCTTTTAGCCATTTGTATGAGATGTACTCTTTTCACAAGCCTTACTGGTTCTTAAAATATAATATATTCCACAAGCAACCGCTGCTTCAGTGAAGATCCATCAGTTTATTTATTTTCTAACTTACACCCTTCCAGTAGTCTTAAAATAGTAATTGGTTTATATTCCTATATTATTTTTTATTCCATGGCATTTGAATATTTGACTGCATAAAAGAGATAAAAAGGTTGCACAGGGCAGGGGGGAAAGTTTAAAAGTTTTTGATTATTAAAATTAAGATACCAGTTGAAGCATAGTTCCACAGAGCTTATTTGTAGCTCCGTTTACATGGATGGATGACTGTTCAGTTTACAAGACTGCTTTCCTCTTTTCCTTCTTACTACCTCACCGAAAGATGTTTGTAAGAGCAGCAGCAAGTCTGTTGACTTGAAACTGCCTTGCTGTTGCTTATTTTCAAACTCGGTGTGGTTTCACAATACAAGGCATGTTAGACGACAATGTGATACGTATGAATAGTGCATCCTCAGCTGTTTTCAAGCACATAAATTCTCTGCAGGACAGCACATGCAGGGAAAAATAGGTGGAACACACATTGGACAAGGGAATATAGCAATAGTGTAATTCTTCTGCCCTCTCCCAGCGCAAGGGTGAATCTCTTTGGATAAAAGGGGTTTTGCAAAAGGGTTTAAGTTTCCACAAGGCCTGCGGAAGGTGATTTTTGTCCTTGCTTTTCCACTTTTGCTCAGTGTCCTGACTAGCTATTTACGTTGACCATTGAATGGAGTACATTTTTTCATCAGAATAACAGCTGTTTTCTTCTTTACTACTGTCTGCTATGGCAGGAGACTCCCCTACTGTTCAAAGTGCTTGTATGAGTGGATTGGGAAGGACAAAAATAGCGCTGACCTCCCTTCCAGAGGAATTCTTCTGAGGAAGTCTAGTTGGTTGGATTTGTGTGCTTTAGTGACCATACTGGCTATAAATGTGAGTCGACACTGTCCAGAGTCAGATGTCTGTCTGCAAATCTCACAGAAATGTGCAGTATGGGGATGTGTTCTGCACTTTTCCAAAAACTATTTGAAGCTTTGACATTTTGGGCTAAGTTAAAGGAAAACTACTGCAACCTACACATTAGAGGCCCAGTCCATTCACCATGGACTGCAGAAGAGCTCTGTCATTGACTCCAGTGAGTGCAGAATTCAGGCTTTAAACTAGGAGGAGCCATTAATTTAATGTTGTTTGATGTGGGCTGCCAGTTGGCTGTATTTTCCTAGCCCTCATAGTAACCATGTGGTGACAAAGGTGGCAAGGATGTTTGAATCTTCTGTGAGTGATCACAAATTCTCTTTGAAAGTTGTGAAAGTTTCAGAGAAGCCCATCTGAAAAATTCCCATTCACTCTGCTTTAAACCACAGGGAGAAGGAGTATGAATAACTGCCAGGGCTACAGTAAACGTGTATTTATTTGTGTAGTTTAGTTACCATCATGATATTAAATGGAAATGAAAACTCTCAAGAGAGTCCTGTTATAAGCAGCCAATGTGACCAGAGACTTTATTTTTATTATTGCAACACTGGATAATATACTCTTCATAAATGTGGAACAAATCTCTGGTAGTGTTGCTGAGGCTCATAAGATCGTGGTGGCCTTGTCAACAGCCCATTTGAGTGGACTGCATACATGGTATTAGTTGCACCACCAACAGAACCAATAGCCAAAAATATTAGCACTGACATCTGACGTTGGAAGCTTCTGACTGCTACAAGTTCTTTGTGCAGATTGGAGAAGGTTGCTGTGAAGAATTCTGGGGTGTTTTTTTTAAATAAAAAAAAAAAATAAAAGCTGAAGGGCATTTGCAAAGATGTGGGTGAACTTTTTTGTCTTGTCTGTTCTTAATTGAAAGAAATAATTCAGCTAGCCCTGTTATGGTCAACACATGAAAGAAAAATTGTATTCATCTGCCTGAAAAAAAGTCCTTGTATTTTTTTCTATTTTTTTTTCATCAGTTTGAAATATTTTATTAGTTTTAAAGAGAGCCTTTGGTAGTCTGTTGTAGGCTGGGATCACCTGAAACTCTCTTTTCAACAGTCCGGGCAGGGGTACCCAGGCCTAAAATAAATAGGTGTAATGACGTAAATGATATTGTATTACTGTTCTACAAGGTCACTTACAAAATATCTCATTAAATCCATGGTCTGTGAGCTAAATCCAGAGGTACATTGACCCAGGAAAAAGGGCGTATTGACCAAATGACATTCTGGTGTCAGGTGTGGAACACCCACTTGCTTTTAATCCACTGGTTTTTGTAGTTAGTATCAAGAAATATCAGGTCCTATACAGTGATCCACCATTTTTTATCCCTCTGGTTGTCTTGCTCATTAGTTCTGCATTTTTTTTCCCTCCTTGTGAAGCATGCTGTTGTCAGATTCACAGCTAAAACCGAGTTGAGCTTAACTAATGATTCTGCATACTGTTTAAAACATCTCTTTCAATTTGTAATGAGCTGCTGGGAGCTTAAGTGTTATTAAATACCATAGGAAGTGTACACTTCAATATTAAAGTTCTTAAATAGCAAGACAGTCTTTTTAAAGTATTATGTCCGTGTAATTCTATAGGGTATGACAGTAACAAACACTTGCTTTTTAACTTTTTCATACGTAGACTTTTTATCATTCTTTGATTCCAGCAAATCTGTAAAGCTATAAACCAAGGCTTACTGCAGTTATCAGCTCAATAGGGAAAAAATTAAAGCAGATAAGTAAAGTGAGGTTATGGGGCAGGGGAAGAATATCCTGGAGGGAAATGACCGTTTGCAGGAAGACCTAGATTTGTTCTACTGACTTCGATACCTAATGCTGCTAGTTTCAAAACTAATTTCAGCCTCGCGTATCTATTTTTATCTCTGTTTCAGCTCTATTTAAAAGGAAAGAGTAAGAGACTATCGGCTGAATCAGAAACTCCCCTGTAGAAAGAGAG